CCGTTCTTGAATATATGCATCCATCGTTCCATGTGATAAAAATGAGACTTACAAATCAACATTTTTTACCAACTAATCAAAAGGTTGTTAAAAATGGATATCAAGATATTCTAAATATGATGCCCTACAGAAGAGCAAAAGGGTACAAAGAGATATTTGAACATGTAACTCAGATAATTACTGAGAAAGAAAAAATATGGGTTTATCCATCTGAAGATCATATTATCTATTCCAATGCTAGGATGGCTACCAAGGAAGAAGATATTTGTTATCTCGACCATTTATTATCTGCAATTATTTCCAACCAAGTGCATGGATTGGAAGATATGGCTAAAGAACTATGCAAATTACTCTGAAATTACAGTGATCACCATTGTGAATACTGTGTAGTTGAAGATATGAGCAAAGCATCTCTTAATAGTGAAGAAATCCCTGTAGAATTCTTTGATTCGAAAATGGAAAAGTGATGGTGACAAAAGTAGCCCTTTATCACTACTTTAATAAATAAATTTATTAAAGAAAAAATGTGGCTACTAAAAGACAGAAGATAGTGCAAGAAAAGTCTTTATAATTGTGACTACTCCCCACCAATTGTTACAAGTGGCAGACAAACTTAAAAGAGAAGGCATTTAATTTCAAAGGGAGAGGTCCACTAGCAAGAAAATAATGAAAAAATTCGGTGGAGATAAGATGGCCTAACTACCTAACAAAGAAAGGTGGAAAACACCTGTCAGGATAAGGTTCCTAAAGGCTTCTATAAAAGGAGGCAAGAAGGAAGATATCTCGAAACAACTTATCTCTTAAACACTCTGAAAAAACACATCTTAGAGAGATATCCTTTGTAATCTGTATACACCACTTGTATTCAGAAAAATATTAAATAGCTTGAAGATAGTAAAGCGTGTAATAAGATAATCACTTATGGAGTTCTAAACTTCATAAGGTGAGTACCAAAGGTATGTAAATATAGTTTGTAAGCATGTACAATTTCAGTTTATGAATATCAAAGTAAAGTTTATTATGTTCAACAAAACTTTCATAAAAGGATTTCGTTAAGTTTCTCATGATTCCTCGAAAGTACAGATAGAGATTTTAAAAGATTTTCAAAACATTGATTTTGAATGGATGTTAGCCATGCCAAAGTACCCGTCTTTGATGAATGATTTAGGGGAAAAAGGCAGTTTTCTAACAAAATCGTAGCACCTTGTGTGTGAGTTATCTTTTAAAATTTCGTTCAAAGTAAGAATTTGATTCTGAAAAGAGTTTAGATAGAGATGAAAACAGAGACTCTGGATACTGTGAGATAGCGTCTGTGGAAACACGGCTAGTTCTTTAGAGTGAGAAATGCAAATTTAATTGAAAAGCCTTTTACGGAAGTAGTTGTGGGCCCAAATGATTTCAAAAAACATTTTAAATCTTTACTTGATTCAGAAGATTGATTAAGTACATGCAAAGCATCTATAAAAGCATACTGGAGGGAAAGCTTGTTTACTTCCATTTGATAACTATAAGTTATTTACTTGTTTTTACGTGCTTAAACTTTAATTATTTTGATGAACAATTCACAAGTATCCACATCTACTAATGATAATAACCTCATTTTATTTTTAGATGAAAAAGATGTTTCGTTTTTATTTAAATTAGATGAAAAATCTGGAAATATATTTCCTGTTGGTAAAGAAAAAATTGAAGAAATATATAGAGATATAGATTATAATTGTAAAAATAATATAAGATTTGATTCTGTAGGAACTAGTAGAGAAATAAGAAAGGTAGAAGATATCATAACCAAACATAGAAAATATACAAGAAGAAATTTCAGGAGGATTAGTTTGAGAATATATAACCAAGAAGGTCAACCTATAATCTTTGAATAACTATCAAGATACAAAGAATATTTAAAGGTATTTGAAAGATTGAAAAATATAGATATAGGTTCTGATTGATAAATTCTTAAAGATATAAGATACACCTTGCAAATAACTATAGTAAGGGTAAAATAGTATTTTTAATTAAAGAAGCCATTGTGTAAAATAGGAACAATTTTCCAGCCTTTCCAAAAATTATTCCAAAATAATAGTCTATCAAATAGGCCCTAATGTCTCTATGGAACACTTGTAAATGCATAAATGACACTAAGAATGTTGAAAAAAAACTTGATGAGTTCAAAAGGTACATTCCGTGATGAGAAGGAAGGGGCTTGATCTTCATTAATAATATGTAACTATACATGTGATAGCGAATTTAGAATGTAACTCACGTCGTTATGGTTCCTCTGTCTCATGCTACAACCTAAAAACATATCAAACGACCTTCAATGGGTTCAAGAACTACTACCAATTTCTCTCTCTCTCTTTGAACATGAAAGTGCAAAGTGAGTGAGAAATGATAATAATAATTGCATTGCCGTAAAACTATGTAAGTTAAATAATATCAATGCGCCCATTGTATCAAATCAACGTATCTCCATTGTAAATGTTACTTAAGCCAATTAATATTATTTCCAGACGTGCAATGTACAAAACAAGTAAGAAACCTTCGCAATAATTGCATTATCGTTTCAGTTATATTATTGAATTATGAGCAAAGAAGACGATAGGGCAATAATAACCCAATAGTGGAAACATAGGGGGTTGAAGAAAAATGAGAGGTTTATTTAAAAGTAATTAAAAAAAGAAAAGAAAAAGAGCATTGTTGTTTACATATGTTTAAAAATACAAACATAACAAAAAATAATCAAGTTTGTTCAAACTTGTTAAAAAATAAAAATGTACACATACTTCTTGTTAAGCTTAGAGAATGTTTAGATTTGCTTCTTTTGCAGAAGAGATTTCTTTCTTTGTTAATGTTGCTCTTAATGCTTTTAAGAGTTGAGATGTGTTGTTTTGAACTTACAACTTTAATTAAACTTCTTATCTTTTTATTAGCGAATGAAAAGACGTAATCATATTCGTTGGCACCTTGACACACAACTTGATGTCCTCAAGAGGACAGCAAATTCGGAGAAGCAGTCTCATCTCAGAAAGAAATAAGCACAAAAAAAAAAAATCTTAAAAGCTAATCCAAACGTGCTTAAGCCGATCTAAAAAAAAAGTTGAACCCGAACCTTAAGAATTCCCTATCGCCCCGTCCTTGAAGCATTGTGAGAGAGGTTAATCGCGGAATGTGCCTCAACAGATCAGGAATAAGAGCTGTCTGTACACTGATGGTGTCCACAAAGAATCTCAATCCATATTTTATGAATTGAACCCTCACGTTACTACTGAATATACCTCATCATTGTCTTTTGTAACACCGGAATATATTCCGGGGGCATGCTTAAGCCAATCTCGATAATACGTATCCTAGTCTAAAACATGGACCGCCTATCTGGACCAGACGATTCCTCTCTATATTAACCTAGATCCCTTGGACGGCTTGTTATTTCCCTGTTCTTCGAATCTCAGAGCAAGTCTCTCTCTGGAATGGAAACTATTCAATCAAACTACATGGATTCGCCATCTGAACCTCCATCCGAATCGCAGCAGTACCCAAGTTTTCAGAATTATTTTTACTCTTATCCCGAAAACCCATCGGATTCACATCCCGAAACTCAATTACAAAAAACCCTAGATTCAACAAATCTGGAAGAAAATGCACCCAATCCAACTATTGAAGATATAGCTCCGAAAGGAAGTGCGTCAAAACTCGAGATGCCGAATATTTTGATTTCAGAAAACGGGTTGACCAATAGCACCGACAGGGATTTTTCCGGAGGCGAAGAGGAGACGACCAGCAGGAAGCGACGGAGGTCCCGGTGGGATCCTCCGCCGAGCGAATCGAGCAACGATGGGGTTGGAACTGGAGGAGCTGATAATAATAGTGGGACTGGTGGGAGGAAGCGGAAGTCCAGATGGGCTGATGACGAACCCAAGCCTGTGATTCAATTGCCCGATTTCATGAAGGATTTTACTGGAGGTATTGAATTTGATCCCGAGATTCAAGCTCTGAATAGTAGGTTACTTGAAATTAGTAGGAAATTGCAATCTGGGTTGCCTTTGGATGACCGACCTGAGGGTGCTAGGTCGCCTTCTCCGGAACCTATTTATGATAACATGGGAATCAGAATTAATACTAGGGAGTATCGTGCTCGTGAAAAATTGAATAGGGAGAGACAAGAAATTATATCACAGATAATTAAGAAAAATCCAGCCTTTAAGCCACCTGCGGATTATAGGCCGCCTAAGCTTCAGAAGAAGCTTTACATCCCAATGAAAGAGTATCCAGGTTATAATTTTATTGGACTGATTATTGGACCAAGAGGAAACACTCAGAAGAGGATGGAAAGAGAGACGGGGGCAAAGATTGTGATTAGGGGTAAAGGTTCAATGAAAGAAGGTAGGCTGCAGCAGAATAGGAATTTGAAGCCTGACCCTTCAGAAAACGAGGATTTGCATGTCTTGGTGGAGGCTGAAACTCAGGAGGCTCTAGATGCTGCCGCAGGTATGGTTGAGAAGCTCTTACAGCCGGTTGATGAGGTTCTCAATGAACATAAAAGACAACAGCTTAAGGAGCTCGCCTCATTGAATGGTACTATTAGGGATGAGGAGTATTGTAGGTTGTGTGGTGAGCCGGGGCATCGGCAGTATGCATGTCCTTCTCGTACTTCAACATTTAAGAGTGATGTTTTATGTAAGATATGTGGTGATGGTGGGCATCCTACAATTGACTGCCCAGTGAAGAATACTACAGGCAAGAAAATGGATGATGAGTATCAGAACTTCTTGGCAGAACTGGGAGGCACTATTCCTGAGTCTGCAACCAAGCAGAACTCTGCAACACTTGCCCTTGGACCTGGCAGTTCAGGTACCAATCCTCCTTGGGCCAGGAGTAATAACACTACACAAGCTGGTTTGGGGTCTAGCATAATCAAGCCAAAGGAATATGATGAGACAAATTTGTATATTGGATATCTGCCACCTACAATGGATGATGATGGTCTGATCAGCTTGTTCTCTCCCTTTGGTGAAATTGTAATGGCTAAGGTTATCAAGGACCGCTTATCTGGTCTGAGTAAAGGATATGGATTTGTTAAATATGCCGATGTCCAACAAGCTAATAATGCCATTGTCAGTATGAATGGCCACAGACTAGATGGAAGAACAATTGCAGTGAGAGTTGCCGGTAAACCTCCTCAGCCTACTGTGCCCCCAGGCCCTCCTGCTCCAGCAATGCCAACGTATCCTCCAAATCAGCCTCCTGGTGCCTACCCATCTCAGCAGTATAATACCGGTGGTCCAATTGGTAGTGCACCACCAGGGAGCTATACTGGGGCTTCAGTTCCATGGGGACCACCTGTGACTCTGCCTTATTCATCTTATCCTCCACCTCCTCCGGGTTCAACCCTGTATCCTCCACCACCACCTCCATATGGGATGCATTATCCTCCACCAATGCCGCCAGCATCTTCTGGTATCCCATCACAGACCGTTTCTCATGATGCTCAACAAAATTATGCGTCTTCTGGGGAGTCACAGCAAAGTTATCCACCTGGAGTGCAATCTCAGAGTAGTGCACCTGCTCAATCTGCTCCGACCTATGTCTACGGAAATTCTGTGACATCTGTGTCACCAAATGCCCAAGCTGTGTATCCAATGCCTTCATACGGTTACCCATCTTATTACGGTTCAGTTCCCCCTCCCCCTCCCCCTCCTGCTGCTGTGCCTCAGCCAACTGTTGATCCTTCACAAAGTTTGAATAATGTTCCTTGGGCCTCAAATCCACCTGTACCTCCACCTTCATCATCCGCGGAGAAGAGCAACTATAGTACAGATGCAGAATATGAGAAGTTCATGGCGGAAATGAAATGATGATGCAACCTTCTGGGATGGCCTTTTCGACTGAATGGTAAACATGCTGGATTTATTTCCTTATATGTCTTGCATTACAAGAAGATATAATAGTATTTACAAGGGCAAGGGGCAAGAATTGTCTCCAAGTCCGTCAAATTGTAATCACATACCATCCAACACCCGTTGATGTAGAGTTATGTTCATGTGGAAATGCATGGATGGGGATTACAATGAGGGAATTAGAGAGACAAGAAAATTGAACCAAGTAAATCTCACATCTTTTTACCGTGATGGTCGAATATGCTGTGAGTTTAAAACGTGTTCATCGGCCAATAATGTGCGAAGAGCACAATAAGTTTGCTTCTCTAGCAAGAGAAAAGAACAAAATTTACTGCAACCTTTCACTTTTTACCTTTTTTTTATTTTTTTATTTTTTTCTCCATTTTGCGTGTGAGAGTTTCGGTGAGAGGGAGTTGAAATTTCAGAACACCTATGGAGTAACCTTGTTTTGTCAAGCCATTCTTCATGATGAGCTTACTTTTTCTTTTCAGTTTTCACATATTAACTGGGAACATAGTAAAATGAGGATGTTAAAATATTAGTAGGATGACTTAAGTAGTTGCTACAGTCGTGAGTGGATCTAAAGAAGTCCCTAGATACAAGAATGATGCGGTCCTAGTAGACCGTGTTAGAAGATCCAGAGGTAGATTGGTCTGGTTGCAAAAAGATTTAATTGTACACTAGATGTATTGATGCACGATAACGTAACTAACTCCAGATTTGATAATTAGGCTTAGTTTGTAGAATTGTAGTTTTCCGATTTTTGGGGTGAGTAGGTGTCCAATTGAGGACATTATAATTCTACTAGAGTATGCTCCCTGGTTTCCAAAATGATAGGTTTGACTCTAACCAGTGACATGGGGCATGTACGGGCAAGAGGTTATAGAATCTATATTTTCTTGGAGAGATGTTCTCTATTGAAACCGTGTATATATGCCTCTGGCTGTAGCTTGACTCTTAAGTTCACCCTGGACTCTGGCAATTTCCGTTTGTTACTGATTCGTTTTAATTATCACGTCTCAAACTTCTTATTCAACTGAACTTGAAAGTTGCATGTATTTATTCTCTCTTATATCCATAGTTTAACAAAGTTTCTATTTTGTCTGCGTGGAGATAAGAACATAATTCAGTACAACTACAGCACTATGACGATTATATTTTGGTTTTGTCTCATTTTAATTGTTGTTTAAGTTGTGCAGATAGGCATTTTCTGACTGGGTACAACTATCTGTGTTGCCAGTCCGCCTTCTCTCCCATTAACTGGACTTGGGCTTTCTTTAGTCTCATATTGCTGTTTGATAATATACGTACATGCATATTTTCACTTTTGGTGCAAGACTGCTTAATTATTATCCCATGAATCATAACGCTTGTTTCTTTGTCGTGATTGTAATATTTTGACAGGCTGTTTGTTGGAGCAATTGTCTTCCTGATTTGTTATCTCTTGCCATGACTTACTTGTTGGAAGTTTGGGACTCACATCTTTAACATTGCTGTACTGTTATGACCTTTGCAGAGAGTTGCCACAAAGTTCAGTTCATCCAGCCTTGTGTTACAGTACTCATTCAGAGTGTTACTGCTATTGGTTATTCCTTTTGTAGGACTATCTTCTGTCTTTTGGAGGATTATTTTCACTTCAGAGCATCTGGACTTCTCAGATTTGATTTCTATTTTATGTTTGAACTTCTTAATAATTGGTTACTGTCCTTGTGTGTGTTTCTATCTAACGATTACTCAGGTGGCTATGTGCTTTGTTTTCTGCTTCTAATTTTCTCTCACTTTCAGTTTATTGCTCTTTTTAAGTTTGACAATTCCACGTTATTGTAGTTCATTTCTGTGAAAGCAGGTTAATGCTAGACTCTACAAATCATTGCTGGAAGGTCCATGCATCTTAAATAGTGAGGTTACCTGGGGTATGTTAAAATTATAAATTTTTTTTAATACATGTATCCTGATTTCTTTCTTAATATTTTCTCTCTGATGTCTTTCTCTAGTGCATGTATGGCAGGGAAAGTGTCATTATGCCAGATTAAATGTTGTGTTCTTGAGCCGTTCTTTTGACGTGAATAGGTTGTGCTATTCTTAGGTCTTCTATTAATTAACAGAATCCAGGAGTGAATTAATTTGGTTGTGGTGTTGTATGGTTTTGAATGAGTAATTGCAGGAAGAATATATGTGGTACAAATGGAGTGGTTAATAGATTTAGTTTGGAGCATAGAAGTCTGAAAGGAATGATGTTTTTATTTGTATATGAATGTTAGTTAAACTAGTGAATTGCTTTGGGTTACGTAAACATGAAGCTCAATTAGCTGGTGTCAAAAACATAGTGAATGGATTGTAGAAAGATATTATTCGCTTCGAAGCACTTATTTACAAGTATCTAGATACCTCTTTTGATAGAATTCATATCTATTGTGAATTTCGTATTTGTCCGAAGCAGGAAAAAGAAAAATAAATTTACATAACAATGAATTGGTATATTCTGGTAGGTCATTTATCTCTATTGCACATAGTTGTCTAGTCTTCTTGTGTGCCTACTAGATATTCTCCATAAGATTGCCTCAACATCTAGAACATAATTCAGTGTCTGTTGATAAAACTTATCTGTGAAATTAGATATTGATTTTTAAGATATTATTGTGATTGGCTGAATTGCATGATAAGAACCGCATTGAATGTTCTTGTGTAATTTGGAAAGGTAAGAAACAAAAAATGAATTTCATTCTAGATGATACAAATTTACAGCGTCTTTTTGAAGTTTTATGTGCTTTTTGGTCAATGTCAAGTGGATTTGTTGTAGCCGTCTACTTTTGGCTATTGATCTTTGCGAAGTTATGCATCGTTGATGACTTAGTCTTAACTTTGTCCAATTGCAATTTGAAGTAGTTACGTTCATGCTTTTTGATATTCTGTTTCCTGTATGTATTATATCCCTTCTTCACAATCAATCTTATTTTTTCCTTTGTGAGGATTACTTGCCTATATTGTGTGTTTTGGGCATTCAAATGTGTGATTGTGTTTATTTCTGCTGTTGAAATGTCATTACATTTAGTTTCGAAATTGTGTTCTACCATTGTTAGAATATGAATTTGTAAATTACATAAAATGCCCTCGATTTGACATTGATATGGAATGGAAAGAGAAATGATCAAAGGTTAGACATGAATAGAATAGGTGCTAATATAATGGCTACCCAACCCGCTTTCATGCAAATCAACACCAGCCACCGAATACTGAGTAAGCCCCCTTTATAAATCTTTAAAACCATTCATCTTACTTGCCAGAACTTTTGAATATGTATATGGCCATCTTATTCACGGTATATATGGTAATTGAAAGGTTACATAATGAAGGATGAATGTCTAAAAGTTGTACATTTCTTATTTTTTATTATTATTATTATTATTTTTGGGGGGGGGGGGGGTTGT